GCACACAGATGTAGAATCTGTGTAAAAAGTAGAGTCTTCATTGAAATGTTCAAATCATGGTATAACCAAATGTCTGTGTGGTTTCACAGGTCTCTGTCCGTCAGTAGCGTGTCATCTGTATCGTCGGCCTCATCCAGCAGTAGCTCGGTCAGGAGCGCTGACTCGGATGACATGTACGCTGACCTGGCCAGCCCCGTGTCTTCCGCCAGCTCACGATCACCCACTCCAGGCCATGCCCGCAAAGAAAGGGGCCCTCCACGGGACAGGGGGCCCAACAAAGACAGAGGTACTATGGCTAAGTGACACATTTGCATTTAGTCATTTAGCAGATGCTTTTATCCAAAGCGACTTGCATCTGAGGACTAAATCAAGTCATTGTGAAGAGGCAACAACAACACAAGAAGTGCTCAAAATACAAAGTTCAAACATTGCTCAGAGTGGTATAAACCAAGTAAGGATTTTTTATATATATATATTAAGTGCTCACGGAAGAGATGAGTTTTCAGTTGTCTTTTAAATGCTGTCAGGGATTCTGCATTCCGGATGATGATGGCCAGATCATTCCACCAGCATGGAATTGGAATGAGAATGTTCTAGAGAGTGATTTGATAAGAATTTGTCACATTTTTTGAAGTATGACTCTATAACAGGCCATACATATTTGTTTTTGTAAACTAAAACTTTTTTTTTTTTTTATTGGAATTAGATTTGAATTAGTTGAATTCGAACTTAATATATATTAGATGTATTTGTATTAGATTACAAACTAATGTTGCATTGACCTAAAGTAACTGTTGTGTGATGTCCTTTCAAGGAAAACCACCAAAGAAAGAAGAGCCATTCAGAGATGAGCGGAAACGAGTGGACCCCTCCGGTCTCCCCCCCAAAACTAGCTCCGGCATGCCTAGATCTGGGAACAGAGGTCACCCCATGCACCCGCCGCCTATGGGTCCTCCAGGAGGATACGGCTCTCACAAGGACATCAAACTCACCCTGTTAAACAAGGTAAATGGAGAAGGCGCTTTCACGTTCAGGCAGCCGTGTTGAAGTGCGTGATGGATCAATGACGACTTTATTCCTCTTTGGCCAGCAGCAAACCGACAGAGGCAATAGGAAAAGGTACTTTCCTGCCGATAAAGAGCGACCCCCTTCGCCTCTCAGCAAGAGGATGGCGATGTCACCTGACAGAGGTAAACAACACATGACACCTTTAATGCCCATTAGAAAACCCCTTCAAAAATCTGATATCTGAGCAGATACTGTTGTGCTTTTAGCTCTTTGCTCAAGAGATGTCCAGAAATAAGAGGTGGTGCACCACATTGCAATCTGCTCTCTCGGTTCCTCAAGCATCACTCTCTGATTTCTCCATAGGTCGAGACAGGAGAATGCCCGGGCGACCCCCGTTGTCTCCCAGAATGGATCGGCCCAAAGGCCAGGGTCCTCGGCCCATGCCTCCGCAAGGAGAAAGGTACCCACTGCCACTTTCTTTTGTCACTCTCTCCTGAATATCCCTTCAAATATATGGTGATTTCCATCAGTTGATAAGTTCTTGTCTGAAAATGGTTTTGCTTATATGTAAATTTATTCATTTGATTTGTTCGCATGAGAACCATCGATATGGTATGTTTGTGTAGATAACGTGCAGATGTCTCATATTCTTTAATTTAAGCAGTGAGTTATTGTTAATATTATTAGTCCAGATTTTATTTTATTAAAAAAATCCCCATGTTTGGTCCGCTTTAGTTCCCTTTTTATGTGCATGATGGATCAAGGGTGTTTTATAACAAAAGCTTTATCATTGTGACTAAGACTAAAGATTTAAAAATATCCCATGTTCTTAATTCTTCTCTCTCCAGGAAGCGTCCTCTATCTCCTCCACCCAAGTCTTCTGGGAAAGGCCCTGCTGCCGTGTCTGCAGGTAAAACTCCTGCGCCCGGGGTCGGATCCGGTTCCGGCTCCGCTTCTAGTTCTGGCTCAGGCAAGCCGAGCAGCACCCTTTCACGCCGCGAGGAGCTGCTAAAACAGCTAAAGGCTGTCGAGGACGCCATAGCCCGCAAAAGGGCCAAAATCCCTGGGAAATAATAAAGCTGGCATCATCCAACTTCTGGGACATCCTTTTTTTGCCCAGTGTTTGCCAGAAACGGGGAAATGGCTGCCGTTCTGAACTCTAAGGATGTCTCGCATAATGTCCTAGGGAAAAGAGACCGCAGTTACGTCTCTGCTTGTTTTCCCCTCAGAGAGATTGTCTAGATTTTATATTGATGTGATAAAGTTGAGAAGTGGCGCTGTTCACTTGTTTGTTTTCACAGGAGGATGGAATCTTTACTGTAGTGTCTCAAAGATAAAAAAAAAAAACCCTGTACATTCAGTGCTCATTTTTGCTCTTCATCCTGCCACGATCCCTTCGCTCTCGCATTCTAGTTGCTTTTTTCCCTCCCTCCTGTTATTTTATGGGGCGAGTTACTGCGGACGGGCGTATACTTAAGGTGTTTGGACCTTCCTGGATGCATCTGACGTCAGTCCTACTCAATCAGAATCTAGAACGGCTTTTTCAGAGCCTGATTTTATGTATCTGCCATCATGTGTTTAGCCATTACTGTTTTCCACCATTTACAACTACAAAGCCAGATGACCTGTTGCTTAAAGTGTATGATACTAGAGAACCAATGGCAGTGATGTGAAGTATTGCTTTTTTTAAGATTCTGCATTGTTCCCTCCCCCCTCCCCTAGCTTTTCAAGTGAAAACCTCCATTTTATTTGTCCCTCATTTTTAGTTAAGTGTGAAAGGCGGCAATGGGGACTCGTGGAGATAAGGAATAATTCCGTCTAGCTTTTTGTGACCGAAAAAAAGCTTCTAAATAAACTATTTTGATAAAGAGAATAAATGTTGACATGGTTCCTCTTTGATGGAAAGATGATATGTAATTGAGGACTTTCCCCATGTGTGTGAATATGAAGGTTTGTTTCTGCAGAGCATGTGCACATCTGCATCATCGGTTTGTGGGCCTCTATTTGATTACATGGCTCTGTTTGTTGTTCCACTGTCTTCCTGCAGCTTATTATCAATACCTAAAGCAAATTAGTGAGATCATTCATTGACGGGGTTGGAATATTATTCATCTTTCTTTGTTTGTACATTTTTACGTCACAAGTTGTAAGAGTTAAATAATCTTTAATAAGCTGGACCACACCCACATTCTTTCATGAGTCATTTTAAATTAAGACATCATGAAATTACTGTGATGCACAAGTGTCAGTGCAGCTGAATACAATATAAAATGCTGTTGGCTTCAAAGTATTTGGAGCTTAAAAAATGTCCAAATCCACCTTCAGACTTCAAACTTATTTTAAATGCTAATGTTGCAAAAATTGCAAGCTAAATGGAATCAGTATATTGATAAACTACAAAATCAATCATGTGGTTGGTGGACACTATTATTTACACTTGCTGTCACTCCAGACTTAACTAATATGGTTTTGTTAATGGTTGATGTCTCTTTATGCCCGTCTTGCTCAAGTTCTTTATTGCTGAAGCATATTTTGATGGAGTGGGATGTCTCGACTCTTTACTGTTCAGTTGACACTTATGAAAGGATTTTTAATGAAGTGAGGCCAGATTTAGTTTTGAAATTTGAATCAAAAATAAACTCTTGACAAAATGTTTTTTTTACTTTCCCTATTTTATATTTATACTTTTTATATAACTTTTTTCACCATGAATATAGCTCTGGTAGCTGGCATCTTTAACAACAAACAAATAATTGGGTTGTATAAATCAGAAGCAGTAAAAAGTTTGCTATTAAACATTTTAAAAAAATGATGGTTCATTAAAGGAGTAGTTCACTTTAAAATAAAAACTTTTGCTAATAATTTACTCACCCCCATGCCATCCAAGATGTCCACGTCGTTCTTCAATTGAAAAGAAATTAAGGTTTTAGATGAAAACATTCCAGGATTTTCTCCATATAATGGACTTCAATGGGAACCAAACGGTTCAAGGTCCAAATGAGAGTTTCAGTGCAGCTTCAAAGGGCTTTAAAAAGAGTCCTATATAGGACCCTTCGAGTCATGACTCGAAAAAAAGAGTTGTTCATTTTGATGAACTAGTTTGAACAGGAGAGTCACGGACACTCATCACATGAAACAGAGCAAGGCGAGCATTTGAGCTTATAAAACTTAAAATTTATTTTTGAAATGACCGAATGTTTCACTAGATAAGACCCTTATTCATCATCTGGTGTTGTTTAAAGCTTTTTGAAGCTGCACTGAAACTCTCATTTGGACCTTGAACCGTTTGGTTCCCAATGAAGTTCATTTTTTATGGAGAAAATCCTGGAATGTTTTCATCAAAAACCTTAATTTCTTTTCAGACATGGACATCTTGGATGACATGGGGGTGAGTAAATTATCAGCAAAAGTTTTTTTTTTTTTTTTTTTTTTTAAAGTGAACTACTTAAACGCATATTAGAGAAATCTGCTCTGAAAACCAGTTATTTTTTTAGCTAATAGAAAAGTGCTGATTATTATAGTATCTAAATGTTGATGTTAGTCACATTGTGTGATTGAATCATCAGTTTCACATTCTCCATAGAATGTATAGAATTTATGCATGAAGCTTAGGGGACTCCTGGGGAGATGTTTTTTCTGAGTGGCTGATCATGATGTTGGGAAATTCACTTGGTCTTGTCCCGTGATGGCAACCCCACAGAAAAGTGCTATTAAAGCTCATTTAAGTTAATGAATGACCTGTTACAGAGGACTCTTTTATCATGTCCAAAACATCCAGGGGGCTCCCACATTTTATGTCCACATTCACTGTTCCAAGGATTTGAAAAGGTCACAAAATGCTCAGAAAAAGGGAAATTTTCTCCATCTGAATATTGGTGATACCTCTCCATATTAATGATTTAGCCTTATCATGAAATGCAGGGTAAGTTTGGAAAATGTTTTATATGACTAACAGATGTCTTAGGCTTCTCTTGCATCACTTCTTTTTTAATGATATTAATGGAGCTGATAATGAAAGGATTTTTTTTTTTTTAATAAAAGTTTTACATCTCCCCTTTCCTATCAAAAAAACACAATGTACAGCTATAAATTACTTAAGTACCGCGTTTTAATGAATGAAATCGTTTTCTTATCACTTCAAAAGGAATAATTGCGATGATGAGAGCAGAAACCCTCCATTTTGTGGAAGCTTCAAATCGTGATGGTCCTCGTTTGTTGATAACCGAAATCATTTTACAGCTGCTAATTAATGGAAAAAAAATAAATAAGTGAAGGTCTGAAGGATTTTTTTTTTCAAGATGATTTTGTAAATAGGGCTTCATATGAAAGAGGAAGCACGGAAGTAAATATTTATTACTATTTCCTCATAGACTTGGATTTTCCCTGGCGATGGACAACAGGTGAGTTTAGTATAAAAGCCCTCACCATGAAGGCTATAACAGTCCAGAGGCCACAACCTGAGCATTGATTCTGAAGCATCACTCGAGTTTTGATAAAAAAAAAAAAGTCTAATCAAATTATGATGGTGAGTTCAAAAAAATACATCTTACAAAGTAATACATTTCGTCTTAACCTATGAAATATTGTATGTTTCTTCATTAAGAAATTGATGTTACACCCTGTTTATTTTACTTATTTATTCTTTGGCTTGCAGTTTTCGCTGTTTTTTGGAATATTTTTCTTGTTGTCGGAGAACATCGTGGAAGGAAGACATATGGGATGTTTCCACAAGGCACACAACAAGCTACTCGAAGCTTTTCTTCCACACGTCGGACACCCGCATCCGAAGGACACCAGTCATTCGGCGGACACCTGCGAGAAAGCCGCTGAGTCTCTATCGCACATCAGTGAGCGCTCACTCTCCCCCTGGCGGACAAGGTAAATATAGCTCTCGCCAACACGTGTTTATATTACCAGAGAAGTCAGTGAAGGATTGCTAATCCAACCAGCCTCCATATAATCTCAACCAAATATATATTTAAATATTTTTTTTTATACCTATAACAAAAATGAATGGGGAAAATATTTTTTTAAGTACAAATGACTTGGATGTTTAAGTCATTTCAACTTAAATTACATTAAACTGAAAAATTAGATGAATCTTGTATTAACTTAACTTGGTTAACTTATTTTGATGAGTTAAAGCAATGTAAAAATATATGTTGTCAACTTATTGATCATATAGGCCTAAATTTTACTGGGCGGAGTTGTTATGAGGCCTGTTTTGTAGTGTTCAAATAACTATACTACATAAACAGTGTGTATGTATTGCAATATCTATTGAATTTCACCAAATTTAGTTACCTGCTACAAGACTCATGCCTTTCTATCTGTTGTATTTTCAGGACTGTGCACAAGCCAGATATGTACCCCAAATCATATGAGGAAGCAAAGTGTTTGTGTGAAGGATGCATCATTAACGGGGTTGAGAATATGGCCTACAACTCTGTGCCCGTGCAGAGATCTATGTTATTCCTGAAGAAGGTCTCATGCCCGTCTGACCCGAACAAATACTCTTTAGAGTATGAACACGTGCTAGTGACTGTGGCCTGTACCTGTGTGGTCCCTCGCCAGTAAGAGAGGACAATATAAACCAAACCTGTAGAGACGAGTCTCATTTACCATGTCGTGTTTGTTTTAAAATGCAATTTTTGATAAGGTACTTACGTTTTTTTATATGCTTATATGATTAAGCTGAAAAGGTTGCATGTGTCACATGTTTTTAATACTTAAAAACCATCATAGTCTTTCTTGAGGGAAGATCTATGTGTATTATTGTAAAACACTACTTTATTTAGAGCATTATTTATTTATGTAATAATAACTTATTTATTGTTTATTTAACTTTTGTATAAATTATTCAAATATGTGAACTTTTGATATTGTGCCTATTGCTGTCCTTGTATAACTGTGTCAATGACAGGAATAGTTATATCAAGTTTCAGTGATGACGATAAAATGTGTTGCAATTTGTATTATGTTGAATAAAATCTATGCTGATCTTAATTCATGCATTGTTTCGTCATATTTCACCCTAAATATAGATTTAAAATCTGTTTTGTAAATGGAAATAGATGAAGTAAATGTATTTATCAATTTTTGTACCATTTGTTCAAATAATTACTTTACAGTACTTCTTATTCACCATTGAGATATATGAAATAGTAAATCTCCATTGAAGGACTCTTCAGAGAAGATAATTTTGCTGAAATATGGAGACCGCACTATAGCTCCCTCTTTAATTGTTTAAAACATGATCCATATGTGGAGGACTCTGCTATCAGTAATGAATCAATAAGTATTCAGACACATGAGGTATTTGATATGGAAATTACCTAATAACAAAGCATGCGACATGGATTTTATGACTGCAGAGTGTCTGAAAATTCCCAGTCTTAAGGCTTGCTTCCCTCCTAGCAATCATTTTACTATATTTTACTTTATTATAATCATTTTACTGTTCTTTGATCCATGGCATAGATTCAATCTAATCTATTGTCCCAGTTATTAATTGCTTGTCCCAGTTAATAAGGACAAAGATGGAAAAGTTGGCTGCCTGGATAATTATAGACCTATAGCATTGGCTAGTATTTTATCCAAGGTAATGGAAAGAATCCTTCTTGATAGAGTGAGTGGGTTTATCTCTTTGGATTATCAGTTTGGATTGTGTATTTATTCATATGTGTATTTATTCTCTTAAGGAAATTGTACACTGTCAGAAAAAAAGGTACGAAAGCTGTCACTGGGGCGGTACCTTTTCAAAAAGGTACACTTTTGTACAGGGTGCATGTTGGTACCATAATTGTACAAATATGTACCATGAAGGTACCAATATGAACCCTTTAGGTAGGCCTACAAAAGTGTACCTTTTGAAAAGGTACCGCCCCAGTGACAGCTTCGTACCTTTTTTTCTGAGAGTGTATAAATTCCACTATTCTCATGTGTTTTATTGATGCCTTCAAGGCATTTCATAGAGTGAATCACAAACAGCTTTTTATTAAACTAAAGCAAAGGGTATATTGTGAGGTTTCTTGCCTATTGGTAGGCTGTACCCACCAGCAGATGCATATTAAATGAGGTGGTTGTTTATCTGCCCCTGCCCCCTTTAGAGTGTCCAATGGTGTTAGGCAGGGAGGAACCTTGTCCCCAATTTTATTTAATTTATATATGGATGAACTGTCAAGGAGACTTAATGATTGCAACACTGGCTGTATGATTGGTGGCATGCTGGTGAATCACATCATGTATGCAAATGACCTTGTTATCTTTAGTCCAAGTTGGGCTGCAGGAGCTTCTTAATGCTCTGACTATGTGGAATTTGATATAAAATACAATTCTAGTAAAAGTTGTATTTTATCATGGTGGCACTCTCAAATCCCTTAGTGAGCTGCTCCAGGTACGTCCAGACTGAGTGCATTGGCTGAAATGTCTGTATGTATTTTAATTCTTGTGCTTGTATTTTGCCTTGTTTATTTGTATTTGTTCTGTCTTGTGTGGTGTTTTTGGACATGCGTGTGGCAAATAAACTGAATGAGTACAATGTAGTAATGATAATTATCGAATAAATTATTTCCATTGCATTATTTATTTCTGCTTTTCTTTTTGGCTTTCGTGTGAGTTTAGCTTTTATTTTGTGGGACTTTTATTTTGAATATTTTCTCATCAGTTTCAACTTTCAACCACAGTTACGTTAAAGCTTCGCGACAATGTTTTAGTAGACAACACAGCAGTGTGGCGTAAAATGGTCACGGCACTAATAAAGTCTCTCAGTATATTAACGAAACCTATTCGAGGTAAGAAAAAAAAAAATAACGTTATCCGGGTTTAAATAGTGTTGTTTCACAACATGCGCTGGTAATATTATTGTATTTCCACCCCCATAAAACCTGTCATCTTTTACTCACCCTCATGTTGTTCCAAATCCAAACTGCATGACTTTCTCTATTTATTTCGTAAGACACTAAATATGTTATAAGCCTCAGCTTACACTTTCAGTTTATAATTTTTTTCGATACAATAAAAGTGAATGCCCAAACATCTCATTTTGTGATTTACAGAAGAAAGAAAGTCATGCAGGCTTAGCTAAATGTTTTGCAAATCTGTTAAATAGTGATGGCATGCGATGATGGACTCACACTCTTTTCCAGAGGCTCAGTGGAGCGATGGACAGAGCACACAAACAGCACTTGTCCTGGCTCTCCAGAGGAACCTGTCAGAGCTTCGGGAGAGCATGTCTTCAGGCAAAGAGCTGGAGGAAGCCCGGCGACTTCTGGAGGAGGTCAGGAGAGACATCCCATGGTTTTGCAGTGATGCTAATGACCTAACCTGGTGCTTTGTTCAGGAATGTCTTCTTTTACTGCTCTGCCTGGCACGACACCTCAACCGCCTCGTGGAAGCCTTTGACCACATTCCTGCTGCACCAAATCCTGCTACCCCTGAAGCAGCTCCACCACTTCCCCCAGATGTTCTCAGTGTGGCCCAACAAAAGACACTGGGCGCTGTGCTGCAGTTTGTGGTCACACTGGGTCTCTGCCCATATTTAGCTCCTGGTGTAGGAGTGGCACTGGGGCTGAGGTCAGCCTTTGGGGCAGCAGTGGAGGGAGCTGTCCGACACGATGTGGCCCCTACAGGGGAACGTCGTCTACTTATCACCGCTAATGTGCTCCTAGAGGTGTCTGCTCTGTCATCATCACTAGCGACTCCTGTGTTTACGCGCCACCTGGGTGACATCATGGCAGCTCTGTGTCAGTTAGCTTATCGACCCCAGCGGCCTGAAGGAGACGGTACAAAGAGTAATAAGGTATACATACTAATATCAAAGCAATACTTAATCCTATTTTAATACATTTTACTAGTGGTCTCTTTTTAGATCTGGGGTTCCCAAAGCCATAGATAACCTGGATTTAGCAAGGAAATGTTGCTAAATCCATGATAGAAAAGTCATGAAACATGAAAAAAAAAAAAAAAAAAAAAAAAAAAAAATATATATATATATATATATAGAGAGAGAGAGAGAGAGAGAGTTATTGTTAATTTAAATAAAGCTGAAAATATAAATATTAAGTGAAAAAATATGTTGTTGTATGTTTAGGCTAAAGTATAAGAAGTAAAAAAAATTTTAAACTATAAAAGCTCATTCAAAATATCAATAAATAATACAGTAACATTTTACAATAAGGTTTCATTAGTTAACAACTTTAGTTAACATGAATTAAGAATGAACAATAATTCTAGAGCATTTATTAATCTAAATCAATGTTTTATTTTTAACATTTACTAATACATTATTCAAATCAAACATTTGTTAACATTAGTTAATGCACTGTGAACTAACATGAATAAGCAATTAACTATTTTTTTTTAATCATTTTATCAACTAACATTAATAAATACTGTAACAAATGTTTTGTTCATTGTTAGTTCAGGTTAATTAATAAATAAACTAAGAGACCTTATTGTAAAGTGTTACTAATAATACAAATACAACTATATTTTTTAAAATCCCTATTCAATAATGAAGAATGACATGAATGTAAGTAAGTGTGAGAATCCTGAGTTCTAGATAAATGTTGAACTAATTCAGTCATCTCATCTACCACAGGGACTAACGGTAGAGGAGTGCAAGACCTGCAAAGAAGCACTCCACAGTCTTCTTGGGAAAGTGTATCAGCCAATCGTCATCAAAGAACTGCTTGTTTTGCAAGGGGGTCCTAAACAGGTGTGTGTTGCCCACTATCTTTCTGAATACTTTTCTGATGTGTTAGTATTTGTGTGATTTGAAAGAGACGTGTCCTGTGTATTGCTGTAGGTAGGCAGGTGTGCTGGAGGGGGAGGTAAGACTCTATCCCAAGCTCCCCCTTGGCTGAGGCGCCTGTGTGGACAGTTGCTGTCTGACAGGTTAATGCAACCACAAGGCGTCCAGGCAGTGGTGAGGGCCATTTTAGAGGGCACCGGAGGTAAGGGTGAATTTAGCAAAGTACTGAGTACAGATGATTGGTTCAGAGAAACACTGGAATTTGAAAAAGGTTTTTCATGGAATAGAATCAAGTTTCAAGACCATCTTTCTAGTGTCAGTTCCAAAATGTACTAAATTTATCCATCTCAGTGGATAAAACATATTGTGTTCTCAAATATTTTTAGCTAATTGTGAGTAAATATTATCTACAATTAGTATTTATTCAAATTCAGAAATGTAATGTATGTCTTATTTGCTATTATTTATTAATATTATAAAAATGAGCATTATACCAGCCATACAATTTTTGTTACTAAACTCAAAACCCATCTAATGCAGCCTAGTATATTTACTAGAAAACAGGCTAAAATAAAACATGCAAAATTGATAACCTATTTGGTATTTATTGCTAATGCACAATTTATTTTTAGTATGCATGTATGTGAATCCAAATTTATAAATACATTGTAATCTGTGTTCGTGCTTATCTTTTGTTTTCCGCAAACTTATAAATAAAACACAACATCCTGGAACCGTGTGCTGTTGCCTGGAATATTACAGTCAATTGACCCCAAAAAAACTGCAGACAGTGAAGGAGACAAACATGTTATGTCTCGGTGAGAATGGCTAGGTGACCTAAAATGTTTTGCATATTCTATAAACAGCACAGTGTCAGTGGGTTCGGCCATAATTTTTTGAATGATGGTGGAAAAATGTGTATTTTCATACCATACATAACAAATCCAGTACATAACAAAGTTCCCAATGTGTTTCCAATAGGTTTATCATTCCATGGAAAGTCATTCTGTTTTTTTTATAAATGTTTTGCCTGTGCTTTTCAGTCATGTTTACTTGTTTCACATTGCTGACCAGCAGGTGGCGACTCTGACTGGAGGAAATGTGACGCTGTGGCCAAGATTCTTGCCTCCTGTCCTCAGCAGTCCCTCTCTGCGGAGAGCTATTACAGTCAAGTGTGTCCACAGGTGACGTAATATTCTCTTATTACAGTCTAAATAGTGAGATTATTGCTAGTATGGTTATTT